TTTTTTTTTCACCGTTTACAATTTTGGAATTGAGGAAAAAGATTTTTTAAGGCATTGATAAAATTTGAAATCTCGATCAATTAATTCAAATATTTTAAAATTTAAGTACAAGTGTTTGGTTCAAAGGAGTCAATACCGTACAGGCATGCGTATCAATTTTGTTACTGGAACGGTACGTACAGAATACCAATATTTTTCACATACTGTTTTAGATTTATCATTATAAATATATTTTTATAAAAAAATTAATGTAATTAAGGACAAAATTTAAAAAAACTTTTTGAGTTAATAACAATCTTTTTTTTTTCAACTATTAACCTAAACCTATTATAACCAAGCAAAGATATTTTAGATGATTTAAGTTAAAAACATTAAAATAATTACAATCATTAAATAAATAATAACAAACCACATTTCATTTATAAAAGTTAAAAAGATTGACTCTTTTTTTTTCAATTTATGCAAGGTTTAAGTCAAGAAGAAACCACCCAAGTCTTTTTCTCTCCTACCCTCCGCTACTGAACTTGCACACCGATGACCCGCGGTTTTGATCGAAAACCCTTAGGCTTCTGCGTTTTGCTACTTAAGTCGCCGAGCCTCCTAGCCGCTCAAGCACAGTGGAGCCGACAATGTGCTCCGAACTCCGATGGCCTCCGTGGCCTGTCGGTTCTGTAGCCCCTCTGGTGGCTTTGTTTTTTGTTTTGTGTGGGTTTTTTTGGTTTGTTTGTTTGCTTGTTTGCTTGTTTGCTTGTTTGTTTGCTTATATGTTGGTTTGCTTTGTTTGTTTACTGTTTCTTGTTCTGTTCCGTGCAGGTCTGGCGGCCTTCTTTCTCCTCCGATGGATCTGTGGTGGCGCGCACGAGGGCTGCCAGATCTAATGCCCATCACGGCTCTCCTGTTGGTTCCAAGGGACTACGGTCGCCTGATCGGGTTACTGCCCCGCATTCTGCCGCCAGCCCCCAGCCAAAACGCGTTTTTTTTTTCCTTCTTGCATAATGGATTAATCAAATTCCGATGCATCGGCCAGTACTTGAAAATTTGGCCGGTACACCGAAATTTAACCAGTACACCCAAAATTTAATTAAAACGAATTTTAACTTATTTCGTTTCGATTAACCTCCAAAACTGATACGTACCAGCCGTACCAATCGGTATGGTACGATACGATATTGACTTCTTTGATTTGGTTTCAAAAGTCCGGTTTAATTTTTTCAACAAGTTAACAAAGGTGTAAGCCATGCGTTTTCATGAAATTATGGTAGTACAAAATCAGGATCAAATCTATACATTTTCATAAGTTTCCATTAACGTTTTAGGCTTGAGATAAAATCCCCAGCAAACACATTCTAACAGATATTAAATTCTTATACAACTCCTTCACTCCTTTTTCTAAATCCCTAATATCTTCTTCCAAATCGCCACACCTCCTCGTCAATTCCTCCGCGGCCTCCTTAGTTTCGTCGTTTCTATTCCCACATCTAACTTGATCTCGTAACTTCCTAGCCGCCGCAACTGTCATTTGCAGCCTCGTTAACGTCAACGACGATCCAGATTTTCTCTTCTTCTCCGCCTCCTCCTTTAACCGTCTCTGCAGCTCATGCAGAGCCCCAGACCAACCGCTCCGGGCCGCTGACATTGGTTGCCGTGATTTCACTCCCAGAAGCTGCTGATGTCTTGATTTCAAGGATAGAGAAATCCCAAGAATCCCACATGCCATTAGCGCCACGGATTCAGACCCACTTAATATCTCTTTAAGTTCGGATGTTGATGTTAAGATTTGCGTTGTATCCTGCTTTAACTTTTGGTTAAGCACCTTTATTAAGCTCAAGTGCTTATCTCTGCACTTTCTCTCCATTTGCTCGCATGAATTCAAAGCTTGTTCGGCTCGATTCAAACATGACACATTCCGTTCAAGCAAATGCGAAGCTATCCTTAATGAATCCAGGTACTGACGAATCATCTCAATTCTCTCCGCCATTTCGTTACACCCATCGAGCAGTTTAACATTGTCGTTGAGGAATTCATTGAGGACTTTCCGATCTGAATCTTGTAAAGCAACGTTGGCCAGTGACTGTAACGCTATCTTTTGGGTGGTGGCAGACGCGCTGAGAGCGTGAATCAACCAAGTAGAGGAAGTGGTGCATTCAGAATGATCAGAAGGTGTTTGTGGAATTAACTTAATGAGTTCGGCTGTGATGAGCTCGTCAAACTGACTTCTACCCGCAAGTGGAGCCACCGCCGCCGAAGAGGCGGATAGCCTTGCCGGAATCCGGGAAGAGAGACTTCGGAAAAATGACTGTGGCTTCTTCATGTTTTGGGGACTCTGATTTCCGGTGAAGTTGTGGGAGAGACAGAATCGGTATAAGAAGGGAAGCTGCTGCATGGCTTAGATACACGTGGCGACAGGGTTATTATTTTTTAATATTTTTATAAAACTTTTTTAAAGTAGATATTAAAAGTATAATAAATATATTTTTTATTATTAATTAAAAAATGAAATATTTTAATATTAAAAGTGTTAAAAAATTTAATAATAATTAAATGATAAATTTAATAAAATTAAATTTCATATTATATTATACATATCATATTATTATTAGATATTTTAAATTTTTTTATTAATTTATATTAAAAATTAAAAATTAATTTTTAATTTATTAATAATTTAAATAA